TGGCCATATTGGAATTTGCCAATATGGCGGCCCCGGGGGGCGCCCATTCCGGCGCCCGCCAGAAATCGAAAAAGTATGGTATGGGCAACATCTGGGCCAAATTTGGTGCTTTTGGAAGAATGTGAACCAAACGGCCCTTTTTTAGCCCTACCACCCCTGACTATTAGCGAGAGACAGAAATATATAAAATCAATATTATTATCTCATCATATAAAATCATATTAAATCATATATTATTAGCTTCTTATATAGCGTGTGTGTTCTATGCGGCAGCATTTGTCCTGACAACGCACCAATAACTCTGATGGAGGAGGACCAGGCTCATGTGCTCGATGGGGATCGTGACCCCAGGCTGTTTGAGGAAGAGACCTCTCACCTTCCTCTCGGTGTCTGCATAGACAACCTGCTCAAGGTAGGTGAACAGCAAATGTAACCAATATGTCATTTGGTTACAATGTGTTAATATGTCATTTACTGATGTTATTTTGAGTGGTTTTTGATGTACTCACCCACGATATATTGCATTTTAATGGTGCCGTTGGGGAACCACAAATACTAAGCCATCAAAAATATTTGGTCCAATTCTTAGTTTTTAGTAAATATTTTCATTTATCACCATTGATCATTTATTTTCACTTATTTTTTTTAAAGCAATCTGAAAACCAAGAATCCATATAAAATTCAAAGACAGGTTCAAGTAGATTACAAATTTACCATCATAATTCTTTTGGTGTAATTTCAAAATTGATATGCAAAATTACAAAGATTTTAGCAAATTTTCAGTAATATCTTGATGTCCTCCATTCAAATTTGTGTAAGAATATCTACTCTATTGCAAAATGCATTTTTATGTACAAACGAAAATATTATTTAAAACACTGTGATGCATATACAGCAATTTAATTTCAGAATAAATCCAACTATATTTACATCTTAACGATGCGATGAACTTGTATAACAGTGATGTGCACTGATGAAATTGTGTTTCACAGGTTTACAGTGATGGAAATAAATTAGCAGTGAACAGACTGAGTCTAAATCTATATGAAGGTCAGATCACTTCTTTTCTTGGACACAACGGTGCTGGCAAGACAACCACAATGTAAGCTTGGCAAACCTGTTAGTATTAACATCATTTACTACTTTTTGAGATGCATATTTTTATTTATTGCACTATGTAAAGTACTGCTTGCACCTTTACGATGCCTACTCGACTATGCTTCAGAAATTCTGTGTAACATTTCTAACAAAAAAGGTAGGTTTTCTGAATATACACACCACACGTGGATTTCAGCATTGGTAGTTTTATGTCGTGTGCTTCTGCCAGTATTTTATATAGATGGCACCACCAAGGCCACTATAGCTACAACTCGACATAGGCAAGTATATGTTAACTTTCCACAGTAGTCCATCAGAATACCCGCAAGAGAACAGACATGATAATCTTGATGGCAATAATGATTTAATTATAGTTCACCAAAGAATGCATGAGTGAACTGCAATGAAGAAAAGTTGGTCGAAAACTTTGTTCTTTAGAATAAATATACACAGACACGCATGCACCCATATATATATATATATATCATTTTATCGGTTTCCGGGGTTGAGTAACCCGAATCTGACCTTGTTTTAACGATTTGAGGCAATATTGCATGTCAGGGTCACGATAGAGGTCACCCGACCGAGAGGTGAATCGTACGTCAATTATAGGTAAAAAACATTAAACACTAAGAATTAGACATAATACCACTTTTTAGGGATTTGTGGCCTCTGAGAATCCGATTCTGATCTTATTTTGGCGATTTGAGGACATAGTGACCACATTTTGGGGTCAAAGGTCAAAGTTCAGCAGTGTACTACTAAAAAATAAACAAAGATTATTCAGGAATCAATTTTATTAAAGTAATTCAGACTAAAGTATTACTACCGGTCATCTTTGCTATTAACGCACCCACCTTCGCATTTGCAAAGGGCCGTACATCGGACACCGGCGCGGTTGCATTTGCACCTTCCTGTGCATGCCTTGAGGCAGCCGCAGTGCAAGAGAATGGCACATGTCACTGAAGCGTCGCTGAGAGTGGTCCATAGTGGTTGCCATGTACTGGTGCCATCTTTGTGCCATCCCCACTCACTGAAGTCAGGAATTTCTTGCTGGACCGAGGTGGCCTGACTCCAGTAGAAATGTGCCTGTAGTAACGCTCGCTTCACATGCTGGAACAGTGCTGCTTGGGTAGGTGCTTCCGTGATCTGCTTCCAGTGGTGAAGAGGCGATGACTGGCCTCATTGACACTAGCTGCACCACACCCCTTGCTGTACATGAGTACCACGAAGCGTTCGATCTGCTGCATATGTACAGACACCAGACTGAAGAGGTCAGGGTCGCGTGTAAGAGCCACTAGTGTGTCGGTGAGGTCCGACATGCTTGTCCAGGCTGCCCAGGCGGTCTTCTTGCCACATCCAAGAAACTGTGAAGTCGTGTCACATCCTGTTAGGCTGTGGAAGAGGGGTAGTTCCAAGGACTTTGAAGGACCGAGATTGGAGCCGATGGTATGAACTTGAATATCACGGTACTTTTTACCAGTACCGAACCCCACCCAGAGCTCTGATAGGCCGAGGGTCTCGAAAAACCGGATTGCCAAAACCACGACATCGCTGTTCACCGTGCGAACATAGGCTGTTGTATGACCCTGCTCTGCGGCATGTGACAGATGCAGTAAGATCCTTGTGTCCGCCTCGGAATGGTTGCACGGCTGAAGTGTTGTGAGGTCACAATGCTTGTTGGAGAGCACGGTCTCGAAACGGGTACTCAGGAGGAGCTTTCCACCCATGTCGTTCTTGGAGATCTGTGTGCTGATGAATGAGAAGAGCTTGTTTTTCTCATTTTTTAGGAAGCCACTGTTCCATTCATGTTTCAGGATTTGAGTGCTGCCATCGCCGACTCTTGTCCGTGGGC